ACTCGCATCTCTTCCGAAATCTGTGCAAAAGACTGAGCCATATTTTCAGTGGAGGTAATTCCAAATATTGAGCTATTGTGTATTTTGATAAACTGTCCAGTGAATAAATCGTCTACCAATGGAAACCTCTTGTGCTGGTTTAACAGTGTATTGTGGGAATTATCCTGACTCTCCAGAGTAACGCAACCAGAAGGAAGGATCGATTTGTATCTTCCAAGAACTGAACATTGAATGCACCTCTGAGCAAAAGAAATCACTCTTCCATCGTGTTATGAATGAAAAATTCCGAACATTTAGAAAAGTTTAAAGTATTGTTGGGGCCAGCAGGTAGCATGGTGGTTAAGGTGCTGGACACTCCCACATGGCAGACCACAGTTTGAGTCCTAGACCTGGTGGCTTGCTTTCTCACTTCCCCTCTCTCTTTCTCTCTGTGTCTCTCTCTCTGTCAAATTAAAAAATAAATGAATAAATAAATAAATAAATAAATAGTTCTCTTTAAAAATAAAACAAAGAGTTTTAGAAAAATTGAAAGTATTGTACAGTGAACAACCATATGCCCATTACCTAGATTCTACACTGAATATTTCACTGTCGTTGCTTTATCATATATATAATCATATATATATAAATATACACATATATATCCATCTATGCTTTGCTATACCACCCCCTGAACACCTCAGCATGGGTATCACTATAAACTTTTTTTTCTTTTCTTTTTCTGCTATAAGGTATATGTATTCACTGAAAGGAGAAATGAGAGAGAAAGTGAGAGAGCACCCCCCATCCCCAGGAAAGATGGCCACACTGCAATCCCTCTCCTCCTCACACGCATACCTACCTTAACCACCAGCCACTTGGAGGGCTCCAAAAAACTCATTTTAAAGCCATCTCCAAATATTTGTGGATTACAAAGGAGATTCTACAAAACAAACTCTAGACAAAGTTAACGTTTGTTAACTTTACTGCTCTGAGAGAAGACTTTTGAGAACCCAGTATGAAAACCTGGGAATAATCAGCTTCTTTAGTATTCAGCCAAACAATTATTGACTGCCACCTGGGACAGCCGGATGTGCAAATACATTCAAGATCAAGACAAGGTTCTTGCCCTGAAGGAAGCACTGTTTCAAGCAGAGGTTTCTACTTTGGGGCCCAGATGAAACTCTGTGAAACCCCTGGAACTACACCCCAAATTTTATATGCGTAAGCGAGTGTATTCTTCTAGGAAAAATGTCCATAGCTTTCATTTTATACTCAAGTCCTCAACCTCCCCCTACTCTGAGAAAAAAAAAGTTTAAAAATCTGGTTGTGGATAGACAGGTAAGCTGATAAGTTATAATGCAGCAGTCTATGGGCTAGTGTAGAGAGATGAGAAGAAGATGCTAGAAATTCAGAGCATAAAACCACGAATTACAGGGAATTTTCATCTACCCCTTTATGGCTTATGTGTGGAACTTTATTGATTAATAGGCAAAAAACAAACTAAGTAAGGGGGTATGAGGTGATTTTTCCTTTTGGATTCATTCTCATGATTTTGTTGTGTTCTGAATAATATTTAAGCCATATTGTAGATGAGCTTTTAGTCTTTAACTTTTAGAACCAGCCAAGTGCAATAGAACTAGCCAAGTGGAGGGGCCAGCAGGTGGCATGGTGGTTGAGGCACTGGACTCCCACGTGGCTGACAATGGTTTGAGTCCTGACCTGGAAGTTTGAAAGTCACACTGAGTGCATGTGTGTGTGTGTGCCCAAAATCCCAGGAGGAGAATGGAGGAAGGGGGATTGTGATGTGGCCCTCCCCCCGGTGGTGGTGGGGGGGGTTGCTTTCTCACTTTCCTTCTCATTGTCTTGCTCTGTCTCTCTCTGGCAAGCATATGCATCCCCTGGCAAATAAAAAAAAAAAAGAAGAAAGAAATATAAGTGGAATCACTAATATCCTCAACTTCAAAGAGAAGTGGATACTTTTTAAAAAGGCTAAATCAATATATAGAGTTTTAAATATATCTAGACAAAAAAATAAAAGTAAGTAACACAAATCAGAATTGGAGAAGATATGGGAGATTGTGTAAAAGTAAACATTTTTTCATTTTTATAATAAGGAGTCATAAATTCTAAATTAAGAGCAGATACAAGGATTTTTATCCTTTTTTAAGATTTTTTTTTTTTCTGTAGGGTACATGCACTCAACAGAAAGAGAGAGCGAGACAGAAAGTGAGAAATTATCCCACCCAGGAAAGATGGCCATGCCACAATCCCTTCTCCTTCATTCTCCTCTCGGGATCTTGGGCACGCCCGGCGTAAGTTTAGGCCACCAGGTCTGGGACTCAAACCACAGTCAACTACATGGGAGTTCAGCGTCATAGCCATTATGCCAACTGCTGGTCCCAATACAAAGCAGGGTGAAGACCTCTATGGAATTGGGATGAAAATGAGGGAAAAGAAATGGCAATATTACATTTCATATTCACCTGCACTGTTTGCATTTGTATTATTTGCATGCATTTCTCTGTGAATAAAAAAAGTTGAATGCCTGGAAGAAAGAGATTTCAACCATTTTTAAAAGCATGACAAGCAGGACCAGCAGATGGCGTAATGGCATAATGTTGCTGGACTCTCCCACATGTTGACCACGGTTGGAGTCCCGTACTGAGCAGCTTCAAACTCATGCTGGGCATGTGCATTCCCAAAATTCCAAAAGAAGAATGGGAGGAGGGATTGCTGCATGGCCATCCCCGCTGCGTGCCTTCTGTCTCTTTGTCTCTCTCTCTCCAGTGAGCACATGCAACCTATAGCAAAAAAATCTCCTAAGACAAGCAAACAAACCCAAAATATCCGTAGCAAGTTCAGAGAAGTCTGCAATCCCTAAAGCCAACTCAAGGTGGCAATCGTGAAACCACAGGTATTCAATTTAGCTTCATTAAGGACACTGAGTTCACTACTTAAGTCTTTAAGGTGAGAAAAAGAAAAAGGCCTTTAACTGTTAAAATATAGAAAACTTTATAAAAGAAATGGATTATCGTGGGACCAGCAGGTGGCGTGGAGGTTAAGGTTCTGGACTCTCACGTGGAAGACCAAGTCCTGGACTTGGCAACTTGCTGTTTAGCTCCCTCTCTATGTTGTTCTGTGGTCGAATAAAATAATAATGATAATAATAATGAATAAAATTAAATAAACTAATTTAAAAAAAGAAATGGATTATCTTTGATTAACACCCAACAATCACCTCCCCACCCAATAAAAGGAACTCTTTTAAACACCCACAAACCCTTCAGGGGTCCCTCCCAAACACAGTCCCAGGTCCTCCACTGTGAACCCTCAAAAAGGAATAACCACTTTCGACTTTCGTGGTAATTATTCCATATATATATATATATTTGTAGTTTTATCATCCAGACATGAGTCCCTAAGCAGTTTAGCTTTGCCTTTAAAATACACACACACACACACAAAACACACACACACACATACATATATATGATATTTTGTTCCATCTCTTTTAATCTATAGGTTTTTTTTCCATCTTTTTTTCCTTCTCAATGAATTTGTTAAAGACACTAGATTATTGGGAACCAGCAGTTAGCGTAATGGCTATGTCGCTGGACTCCCATGTAGTCGACCGCGGTTCGTGTCCCGGACCCGGTGGCTTAAAACTCACGCTGGGCGCGTGTGCGTGCGTGCCCAAGATCCCGAGAGGACAATGGAGGAGAAGGGATTGCGGCGTGACCATCCCCCCTGGGGGGTGATTTCTCGCTTTCTGTCTCTATGTCTCTCTCTGTCTGTCTGGCGAGCGCACGCGCCCTACAGTGAAAATCTCTCCAAAAAAAA